ATGCACTTCAATTCAACAAAATTAATTAAAACCCACCACCAGAAACATCACAAAACACTCCAAAATGAATAAACCGAACAGATCCGCTCGGAGCTACACAGAAGAACAACAAATAACAAGCAACTGAAAAAAGCATGGGTACACATAACTAATCGCACACGAACAAACCTCATTGTCTTCATCTTCTTCAACATTGGGTGCTTCGTCATCATCACCTTCTACATCAGAATCATCGGCAGTCCGAGCTACGGCTTCGAGCTCCTCCTCGTCCACCTCCTCGTCAACCGCCAGATCTTTGACAACCTCTTCTTCCGACGAGGAATCGGACAAGTAATCATCGGACGAGTCCTTTGCTCGGGAGGGTTTCACCATATCGAGGGTTTGGTGATTTTCTCCTCGTCCAAAGCGAGCCCGAACAGAAGAATTTTTGGAGTATTATAAAATGTAAAAATAAAAGCGAAGCAGCTTAATGAATAGGGCCGGGCGGGTTGATTTATAGTAACTCGGGTCGAAAAATGGAAATTTGGATACTTTTATTGGATAAATTTCCCGCCACTAATCGTGTGGAAACTTGTGGTTTTCCCGCCGGTGGATTTGGAGCCTTGGGGATGAAATTGTTATGGGTTCATCACTCTTTGAGGTCGACTGTAAATGCTCTTTCCAACAAACAAAGGCCAATAAGGAGAATCTACAATGCTTGTGTGCTTCGTGACTAATTTTAGCTAAAATTAGAGCATGTTTGTTTAGGGAGATCGGATTAGATAATTTTTATCTTGAATAACAAGATTGTCTTGTAGAGTTAGAATAAAAACTTTTGTTTGTTGCATATGATTGACACAAGATAAGCTAGATAGGATATAATGCACTATTTATTTGTTGCCTTAGATAAGTGATAGGATATATGGTTCATTTACTTCTTTGTCCTTTAATTAAAATATATAAATTAATATTGTATGCATTCTTTCTTGTATCTTTTTTTTTTTCTTGTATCTTAATTTTTTCAAATTGAGACTTCGTTTTCGGACAATTTTTCCCATATCTAAATTTGCACAATGTATTTTTGTTTATATTATTTTACCANTTATTGTTTCGTTAATGTTTTTATTTTAGTTTAAGTTTTTGTTAATGTTTTTTTCCTCCTTTTGTATTAATTCGAATGTCTTCCAGACTTCCACATATGTGTTTTGCCTCATTTTCCAAAAAAACTTCGGAATTGTACAAAATACATTCTGCACCAGAAACCAAAAATTAATATTCAACACAGAACTCGGTATCAAATTAAATATCACAACATTTATGAGGAGCACATTTTCTCATGTCGATTAAACGAAAAGGATCCATTTACATAATCTATTTAATTTTTTCCCTATGGTTTTACGCAAATCACAACGACAACCCTGTAAGCTTAACTTGGTTGAAATCTGAATTTGTAATCCACCATCAAAAAGTCAAATAAAAAAGCAGGGTGCTAAAAAAATTAAGTAAAAAAATCCCAAAATAAAAAATTAAAAATAAAAAAAAAATCCAAAATAAAAGAGAATATATCCAAAATTTTTGACATGAATACACAAACCTTTGATGGGGCTCGTCAAATTAGAGGAAGTGGAACACCATTGCTCTCGAATGGTGATTTTCAATGAATGGTATAGAAGATATTGGAGACGAAAGAAGAGATTCCGTGATAAGGTATGGCATAAAGTAAGGGTGGTTTTTAAGTAATTACGTCAACCCAACAGGGTATTATAGTCTCAAAATAAAAAAGTGGGGGATATTTATGTCTTTTACCAACAAAGATACTATATAGATATTCTCAATCTTGGCACCCTCCCCAGGACCAAGTTATCTGCTGAAACCAAGATTAAGCATTAAATTGTCGCAGGCCAGACGTAATCGTACGGGCAGTAATCAGTGCAAACAAACATCAATTTTAGGGTAGATAAAGGGGGTAATCTTATCTAATCATTTCTAACAAACGTGCTCTTAGAGTTTCAATCTTATTTAGAGTTTGATATTGATTGGGACTCTCTTTCCCTTTCGTTCTCCTCTTACCAAAATTCTAAAAATCAGAAAACTCTAATTGACGGAGGGCCTCTCCTCTAGTGGCGGGCCTCCTCCTTCCGGCAAAGGTTGAAGCCTAGGTTGACCAGTACCGGTTGTTTTCGGCTTGACAGGTTGTCGTTCTTTTCCCCCGTGTGGATTTTTGTGGACAGCTTGTGGCGGCGGGCGCGGTGGACGCCTGGTGGTGGTTGGTGTTCCCGAGGTTTGATTTTCTACCTCGTCGAACCCTTTCGACTCTGGTGTTGGGTGCTTGGGGGCGGCCGACGGGTGCGACTTCTAATGGGTTGCGGTCACTGGCCGGGCTAGGGGTAGGTAGAGTGTTATCTTGTTGGTTCTGATCCGGTGGTGATTTCCTTGGCATGGTTCGTCATTGGTCCGATTCTAGATAGTCGTTAGAAGAGTTTCTAGAACCTTGTATTAGGTGGGGATTTGATTATGTTTGGGAGGTTTCTTTTGTTGTCGTCTCGCTTGAGGTTTTTGAGTGGCTCGACTTCTGGAGGAGAGGGCTTTAGTTTATCGATTTGTTGTTTTNTATTGTGTGTTTTGTTGTATGCTCCACTCGTGTGGTTTGTGAATATTAAAAAGACGGCTTAAGGAGAATGAAGAAAAATAAAACAAAAATCAAAGTCGAGGCACGTAATAATTACGTTCTCCTTAAGACGAAATTGCCCCGTAAAATACTCACGGTTAACGACAAATGCCTCCAAGATACAATGACTTTCGACTTATATATAGCGGTACTTCAAATATACAAGCCTTCGGCGAACAATACTATTGTTTGGAACTCTCAAGACTCAACGAAAAAATCATAGAACACAATATGCTTTATGAACTTTGAAAATAAAATGCAAGAGCTCTTGAAAATTTGATGTATTTGACTATTTCACTTCGTGGGTATTTATAGATGTTATAACCAATGTTTTGAAAATCGGGCCGGTCATCGAACCGGTGAAGCTACTGGTTCAATGGTTCATTGGTCGGACCAGTAGTCGAACCTGTCGAGCCGGTTTGAGTAATATTAATTTTTTATATATTTTATATGTATAATATATAATTGTATATATTTTTTTCATTAATTTTTTATTTTTTTATATGTATTTATATTTTTTTTCGCAACAATAGGGGATTTTATATCAACCAAATGTACACAAAATACAAATCGAGAGCTAACCAGCTCAATGCTACAAAGCACTTGAGAGCCACACACAATGGTGATCTAGAACACACACACTACTACTAGGACCAAAACAAGGGATATTAAGGCAGCAAAACAAGCTGAAACCTTAATACCCACACGACTAACCACCATCAGCAAATAACCATAACAAATAGCAGAAAATCAGAAAACTACATCAGTCCTCAAACAAAAGAAAGCGAATGAAAATCAGTAGACAAACATCACAGTTCAATACCCTGATTGTGAGTGCCCACTGAACCAAGCATGGACCTAGACCCCCTCACCTTCAGGTATCAAACTCTTTTGCCTGCCTGGGATGCAAACTCTTGCCAGTCTTTATCTGCAGCATGCACAACCAGCTTCACCAGCAACCATTCTTCTTTGAATATCCATAAATTCCGAGCTTCCCATAACTACCATAGGATGTAGGTGGTTATGTATATGTATATTATATGTATAGTATATAATTATATGCATAATATATAATTATATATATTTTAATTAATATTACTTTTTATTTATTTATATGTATAATATATACTTGTATATATTATATAATTTTATCATAAATTGGTATGGTCATGATAGCTTATAGTGGATTGTTGGACTCATTATAATTATATTCATATAAATTTGTAGGGTCTTTTCCTGGATAGAATTAAAAAAATAGGCCCAATTTAATAATTGTTATTTTTTGTCTTCTGGTGGATAAAGTAATAGAACTTCTAATACGCAAAACAGGCCCGCTAGCGGCCTAAGAAGCTAGCCAAACCTTTAATAGCTTTCTTGAATCCCACATCGGACAAACAAACAAGATATGTCATCTATTTATATAATTTAACAGCCACTACAATTCAAATCACAAGTGGACCGCTGGGACATTCAACCAGTACCAGTTTAACGGTTTTGACGGTTTTTGGCCGGTTCTGAACTCCAGCTGCTCCATACCTCAAGCCGGACTGATGTATTGGCCGGTTCCCGATTGAACTAGTCGAACCGGCCGGTCCGGTCCAGTTTCAGAACATTGGTTATAACACATCTCCAGGGCGTTCAAGGCATCAAAAGACACTTTTTGGGACGTGCCCGGTCGATGCCGGTTCTGAACTCCAGCGGCTCCATACCTCAAGCCGGACTGATGTATTGGCCGGTTCCCGATTGAACTAGTCGAACCGGCCGGTCCGGTCCGGTTTCAGAACATTGGTTATAACACATCTCCAGGGCGTTCAAGGCATCAAAAGACACTTTTTGGGACGTGCCCGGTCGATTAAAACTGATTAGAAACTGATTATAACGGTTTTGACGGTTTTTGGCCGGTTCTGAACTCCAGCGGCTCCATACCTCAAGCCGGACTGATGTATTGGCCGGTTCCCGATTGAACTAGTCAAACCGGCCGGTCCGGTCCGGTTTCAGAACATTGGTTATAACACATCTCCAGGGCGTTCAAGGCATCAAAAGACACTTTTTGGGACGTGCCCGGTCGATTAAAACTGATTAGAAACCTGTCCGGAATGAACAGGTGCGTTAGATCTCCAGGGCGTTCAAGGCATCAAAAGACACTTTTTGGGACATGCCCGGTCGATTAAAACTGATTAGAAACCTGTCCGGAATGAACAGGTGCGTTAGGGTCGCGCGCCCGCGACGCCCTGTCGCGTCCTTCTACAGCATGTAGCGGGCTGTCGCGCAGCTGCGCGCCGGGAGCTCGTACGTGCTCGTTCGGACTCAGAATTTAGTTCTGTTTTTTCCTACTCGTTCCCAACGAGCCCTTCTACAATTCTAGCATACACAATTCATGATTATGGCTCGTTTAATTTGTCCAAACATTTTGTCAAAACATAGTATTTGTGAACCCTACAACCTTTGAGTTACTTAAACTCAATTATTCAACATATAACACTTAGAATTAGTTTCTCATTCACCTTAAAATGGTTTTAAGAATTTTCCAAGTCTTCCACTTACGGAAAATAAAACATTTAAATAGGTACAAAACCAATCTTTTCTTACAGTTTTCTCCTGTTGGGAGATTGTTAGCGTCTAAGCGACCTTCGGTCTAGCCTCCCATTAGATTCGGTTCAATAGTTTTGTTAGTCAGTTCTTGATTAGTTTCTAGATGTATATATGTGTTTTATTTGTAAAACTTCCAATCGTTCCGTAATTAAAAGAAATAGTCATGAATGAGATCCTTTATTTAATTTTATGAAGAGTATTACAATTTTTTTTTTTTTTTTTTTCCAAATACTTGATTTTGAAAAACTTTAAATATGCATTTCCTGTTTTTCCATTTTTTTTATTTTTTTCAATTAAATATTTAAAACTTTAAAAAGTAACTTTCTATTTGATACTTGTTTGTTTGTATATCACAAGTCTAATTGATAATTATTTAAAAAAATAACTATCTTTTATTTATAAAATAGAAACGAATAGG